GCCCAAACGCGTTGTATAGTATGTATGGTCTTTGGCCCCTTAGCCTTGATAGATGAGTCCTTAGATCCCTAGGGAAACATCATCTCCCACATATAACAAGAATACTTCAAAAAAATCAACCAATTCACAGTTGAAGTCGCCTCGGAAGGCTCACCCTAATCTAAACCCTAAACCCCTCTTGGAGGATCATGGGACTTAGTAACTTTGGTTATAAGTACCTTAATCCGGGCTCTAAGTAACAATGGATACAGTTACCCTAATAGTAACCCGATCAGCTACTAAGTCACATGATCCTTTAAGAACCCGAAAACCCTAAACCCTATGATTGATCCCTTTAAAGCAACCCTTATAGATCCCTTTAAAGGAGCCCTAACTCCTAAACCCCAAACCTTATCCCCTGGACCCCAGGCTTGCTGAGGCCCCGGGCTCCTGGCAGCGAAGGCGGTGGACGTTCAGGACGATGGTGCGCGCAGAATGTCGGGCCTTCAGGGTACTACTTAAAGGATCATGGGACTTAGTGAGTATGGTTATAAGTACCTTAATTGGGGTTATAAGTATATATAAGTATAGTTACCTTAATAGTAACCCTAGTTACTAAGTCCCATGATCCTCCAAGTATAAGGGTTTGCTAAGGGTCCATGTACCCCACAAGTATATACTTTGGAGCCAATGTACCCTTGTAGGGAGTACTCTAAAGGCCAAAGTATTTGCTATTTCGGTACACGGACCCTCAGGGGTTATCAAGGCCTTAAGAGTTGCTAAAAGGATAGTTCTGTAAACAAGGGCCTTCTGTTCAGGTCCCAAATACAGTACGGCACCCCTATAAAAAGGACCCAGAAAGGGAATGTCGGGGCCTTGAGGGTTGCAAAGAAGGCTTACTGCAAGGATGCTACAATATTACGATAAGATTCCGGTCCTTAAATGGTTCCCATGAAGGTTGCTATAAGGATCCTAGCAAAGTTACGATCAAGGGTCCTAGGAAGGTTACCATGACGATTAGTATCTGAAGAGTTACTATAACGGGCAGTGGTGAAGGATCTGGGTGATGGAGGGGCTTTAATGATTAGAACAGGGCCTTGGTGGCTATTGCATTATAGTCTTGAAAGTTGTTGAAAACGCTATAAAGGATCCCTTGAATGCCTGGAAGGGATCCCTCAAAGGATCCCTGATGGGACTGCTTGGGTTTCAGGGTTCCTTGGGCTGAGGTGTGGGATCAGCTTCGGGATGATGGTTCCGGCTTCAGGGGTTTTAACTTCAGAGATCTGTGCGTTTTCAGACATGTTGCTGATGCTAACTCAAGAGGTGTCGATCATTACGAAAGGTCTTGCTCATATAAATGCAAGGAGGCCAGCAGGGAATACTGTCACCATCTAGCAGGACCTCCATGTTTTTGATTCAAACCCCTGCTGCTTACACGCCGAGACCAGCAATGCACCTTACTGCTTCATGCCCTCTCACTTCGCCAGACAGCTTCGGTAAGTTGAAGCAAATAAACGGCTCTGATATAGGGGCATTGAAAATTCAATCAGGGCTTTGGTGTATGCTACGATTGCATGTTACTAAGGAGCCAAAAGAGCCTTTTCTGCAAACCTTGGCACACCAAGCTGGAGGGCTGCATCCGATGCACTAAGGCCAAGTTTCTTAATTCCCTGGCTCAAAGAAGGTCGGTAGGCCGGCCTCAAGCAGCACACTCTTAAAGCGTAAACCCCAAACCCAGAAACCCTAAATCCATCATAACGTGAATTACCAGTCTGCTTTCATCCTCCGAGGCATCTGTCCGGGTGAGCGCCCGCAATGTGATGCGGAAAGCTTTGGAATCTCTGGCAACCGTAAAAACCTGAGCTCCAAAGAAACCCCTAGAGCCTGAAGGAAGCCCTGACAGTAACCCTAAACAACTCCAAAAAACATTATCGATGCTTTCACCTGAGATACACTTAGAGGCCATGGTAGCCCTCATAGTAGCCCTTGTTGTAACCTCACACAAACCCTTCAATCTAATCGAGCCTTTCAAGAGGCCATAGTAGCCCTGGTAATTGGCCTTGGGGTAACCCAAAGAAACCTTGAACCCAAACCCTAAAACCTAACATTTTCGCAGAAGAAGCAAGCCGAGTGGCCGGGCGCTGCTCGCAGACCACCGAGCAAGGCTCAGGCTCAGTCTGCGATGCCGCGGACAGGCCTTGGAGAAACTCAAACCCGGAGCTTTTGAGTTTTCGGTCCGGCTTTTGTAATTCTTTTTTGGAGGGGCTGTTAATTACGGGGCTATGAAGGCATATATGGGAGCTCAGCAATAATTTGGGTTCAGTGGGACGGATAAAAGCATGACAACATATGCTTCGACGACTGCTCGGAATTGAAGCTTTTTGGAATCTCTGTGCTACTTACGATGAGTACCGTGCAGTCAGGAGTCCTCGTATGTATTCCATTATGTTCAAGTTCACGTTAGTGTCTTACTCTCACAACGGAAAGCTATTGCAGACCGAGAACACTCACTGGCTTCCCAAGCTCCGAGACATTGCGACATCCGCTCTGGGCTCTCGGCTCGCATCGGTGGACTTGCTCCATGGCCTTGCCGATGTCGTAACGGAAGCCATCGTAGCCCTCGCGTTGAAGTTCGACGTTTCGGTAACCCTAACCCCTTCCGCACTAAGCCCCGTTAAGAACTCAGCCACAGGGGCTGAACCCGAAATCCTGACATCCGACAGCTCTACAAGGCTTGCCTGCGCCTTGCGCAGCTACCCTTTTAGGGCCCCAGAAAAGGGGGCTCGATAGGGTCCGACTCCAGGTGAAGGGCTTGCGATTTGAGATTTCGGGTGAAGGGCAAAAGGGCCAGGACTGAAATGGGCAGGTCGGTTGCACAAATTGAGCTATGCCTGAGACCGTACTCCTGCACCGCGGCCTCGCTGAGCCTAGGGCGGAGATACTGTTCCCCTGCGCATTCCTACATTAGCATAAATTTTTGATTCTACTTATGAAGACCCCGGAAATGCGCTGCATTTAGGGATTCGGAGTCCCTTCGGCCAAGTCCTGAAGCTGAAATGCTTCATGCAGCCTCCCCTGATAAATGATGTAGGGCGGCCTCGATAGTTAGAAAGGGTTTATGTAAGGGCTCCTTCAACATATATAGGTGTTCTATATAGAAACTAAACGGCTCTTGATAGTCAGAATAGGGCTTTGCCTCAGAGGTTTGAGGCTTAGGATTACGGAGTGGTGCTGAACATGACTTCGAACAAAAAGTAACTTAAGCTTAAACATATAAATACGCACACCGGGAGTTTAGAGTCTCATGGACCCCGAAGGTTGGATCCCAAGACACAGGGGCTTCATAACTAGGATAGGGCTTGTGGTCTACTACCATGTCGCTATGCAGGTGAAATACGAGGATCTGCTTGCCTGATTGCCAACTAGACTCTAAGCGCTGCGAGATGGCCGGGGTTCGGCCTCGTACTTCTCGTACTCGCCTGGCAGAGAATGCAAATGGTGCTTCTTCAGGGTTGTTCATGGGGATCTTTAAGGGGCCTTCCAATGCTCTAGACAAAAGGGTTAAAGGGGCCTGAGTAATCAGAATGCAGATCAACTAGAGCTTGCCCCTCGAAGTACGATTACAGCCTGATTACAGCCATGGAGCAGCGCTACATACGCCAGCTAGACTTACACTCCCTTTTGTGCGAAGGCACTGAGTTTCATCACTCCCCAAAGCACGCAAGCATCTTGAACCTCGCATCGAATGGTAGTGTTATTTGTAATTCACAGCTAGGGTTTAGACTCCAACTAAATGATTTGACCATGATTCTTACATGATTCTTAAGACCCAGAAAGCAACCTACTTTCCCTTTCAATTTTATCTGAGGTGCGGAACTTTGAAGGAGTCCTCCCTTCCAACTCGAGGTCAATCAGACATAAGCTCTAGAAAAACAGACCTCCTAGAAAACATTCGTAAAACCACTATGAAACCCGGTCGAAGCCTTTTTGTAGCGAAACAGAATGGCCTTCGAGAAAGTCCATCAAACCACCATCCGGTGCATCTTCCTGGTACTTGAAGGGCTTCCTCGCGGCACAAGTCTCCAGTGTTTGGTGTTGAAATGTCGGGGAGGAGGTATAAAGCACCGAAAAGTCGCGTTTGCAAGAATGCACAGCGAGTAGAGCGAGTCGTGGCATTCCGAGCTAGCAACGCACAGCAAGTAGAGCGAGTCATGGCATTGCGAGCGCACGGATGTAGTGGAACCCAACGGGTGATTCGAGACCCCAGTGCGAAATGCGTAAGAGGGCTACATATCATGCTGGCATCCTATGTCGGCTATATCGGCTGCTCAGAGCTGTCCGCAGTGCCCCATGACAAACCCTCAGGCGAAGACTTCGAAGGAACTCTTCAGCATTCCTCCCTGTGAGGTCGATGGACTAGCTGTGACGAACGACTAGCTGTGAGGAACGAGCGGACAACCAATATATCGTGGCGAAGCTAACTCGATGCACATCTGCGCAACAAAGAACCCAATGCAAGCCTAAGACAACGGCATACCTCGGCTGCATACGTGGCTTCATAGCAAAATGTGTTAGGGCTTCTATGGCCTGCCATTGTGGACCGAAACCAAGACGCACATGACGTAGAGGGCGGTGTCAAGCTCAGCATGATGCAGCTCTCCACCATGGTGCGCCTTGTCGTACTTCGCTGATAGCCTGTCATGCTTCATACCATCAATCATGTGTTTAGTGCAGCCGAACTTGAACAGCCATTCCTGCCAGCTTCGGGTGCGGCAACCGGCATGGATTTTGCTCAGCTCTTCCTCACTAGGCAGGTATAAGTCTGACAGGCTCTAAACTGGAAAACTCACCAGACGCCCTCCAAATGGAGAATCTCGCCAGAAGCGTCCGACATGCAGTATTTATGTAGATTGTTCGAAACTTTACGGAATCCGGCGGCTTCTCAGTTTTCTGGCGACATGCTACCGAGGACCTGGCGCAGAAAGCCCGCGTTAAAAGAACGCAGCAGCGCTGCAGTGGATCTAAATTCTGCACACGGGGCACACAGGGCCCAAAGGGCTTGTCCGAACGTACTCCTCCCAGCATGCTGCACATGCGTAGTGGTGACCCCCGCATCTTTGAGCTTTGATGGGGTTGACCACAGACGCACCATCTTCCAAGCAAATGAGACACTTCCGATCTGCTTCTGGAGGAATGCAGCCCGTCACCTGGGAGTGAGTCACTATGATTTCGTCGAGCTGTCGCAGGAAATCTGTGTCGGGAAGTCGCTTAAGGGTCTCCACCATCTCCTCGATTTTCTGCAACTCTGATTGCGCTTCATCATGCTGGGAACGATACTTGTAGGTCTCATAGAGGCCGTAACCAACCACAAGAAAGAACATTATGCCGCCACCCACCGCACCGCCGCACAAGGCAACGCGTCCAGCTGTTACTGCAGGGTGGCATACGTGGCTAAAGCAGCAATGAAAGAGGCGGAAAAAACCAGCGACGAATGCCGAAGCTGTGGCAACCAAGCCAACAGCTTTTAGGTTGTTGGTTACCGTCACGTAGACTTGAGACGAAAACCAAGTTGCTGGAACCCTCAAGAGTTCCTGGCTCGCAGTCTCATACACACGAAGGAACTTGGTCATCTTGTTGTAAACGTCATCTAGCACCTGCAGCGTGGCTTCTTCGTCCACCCCGTTTTGACCGGGAGCGAGCGTCAACTCCTGGTACTTGTGATCGATCGTGGCATCTTTGATCTTCAACATGAGCTTGCCCTTCCCGTAGCCTGCGACGAAGCCTTTTAGATACTCCAACTGGCACTGTTTGTCGTCATCATGTTCCGACTGAACGGTTTGCTCCAATTGCTTGATTGCAAGCTGAACAGTCTTGATGGCTGTATCTGTGATACGTAGTTGTCTCCCAAACTCGTCCTGCGGAGAAGTCTGGTAGTCCGCGTACATGATCACAAGAGCCGCGTGTGGATGCTTTTTGCACTGGTGTGTAGGCAAGGCCTGAAGGCACCTGTCACATGCAACTTTTGAGAGCCGATACGACTTCGCAAATGCATGGCCTGCCCATGATTGCCCTGCTCTAACCCTGACAGAGATTGCAGCCTACGTCCATGCAGCCGATTGCAACAACGCAGGCCGGGGTCACCTCACACTGCTTCGCAATGTTGTGGAGCAGGACAAGAGAAGCAAACCAGGGGATTGAGTTCTCGGAGCTTTTGGGATCTGGAATTGCGATACTTTGCGGAGACCTTCCTCCGTGCTTTTCGTCAGGGCCTGCAAGATTGCTAGAGGGGAGTGGGAGTGGCTAGATCATGCTAGATTCTAGATCTGTAGTGGGGGCGGGGTGTTGGATGCTTGCTTGTCAGGTTTTCTGCTCTTAGATGTAATTAACGTGCCGAGTCGCACATCTAGGCCTAGGAGGTACGGTTGATGATGATGATGATGATGATCATGATGATGATGGTGATATATATATATATATATATATATATATATCCTGCATTACCTTAAGGACCCTAAACTATGGGAATTATGGTGCATTCATTATTATGGGTAATACAGGATTTATATCATTAACAATACTTTCGGAACTGTGCAGAGAATCAGTTAAGCGAACTGGGGCCTTTAAGCCGATTCTAGGTGGGGCTTTTAAAGCTGTTGAACAATCTTAGGATACTCTTAAGCCCAATAAGGGAAAGTAAAATGTCCCAAAGCCCTATCTAGGATTCAGCTTTAGTGTGCTTGGGCGTTGGGATTTGGTGCTTGGAGGTTCACGTTTCGGCATAACTGGTAGGACTAGGAAGTATGGTGGTAATTAATTTGCGGTACTACACTCGAACGCTCGGTGCTAAGCTTTTGGCTGACAATGCGCTTGACAGCAGATTCGCCGAACGCCCTCGCAAGCTGCTGCCCCCTCTTAGACCTGATATTCTTGCTGGCCTCAAATCCTGAACCTATTCTTTCCTGAACACAGGTTCCCCTTCTTAACCCCTACCTCCGTAGCCACAAACCCACACCCCATCCTTCCTTTTCTCACCCCTCCTTCTTTCTACTTCCCTTACAAACCACCCGACTTCCTCTAACACTCAAAGTGTTAAAGGCTCAGATTGAACCCCGCTGACGAGCTTAGGGATGATCACGGGGTATCCTCTTTGAGCCAGCAGCCAAGTCGGACCACGCGCAGTAGCCTCGGCCGATAGTCGGTTTCCCGGCGAGGTCCCTGAGCCCAATCTCAGCCTCCCAACTAGCGATCCTAAATCCTAAATCCCTGTTAAACACCCCTGCTTAATTCCTATGAAATCATCAGGAAAGCCCTCTTGTGAGTACGTGATATGCAGGGAAATTTGTCAACTGGGGACATTCATCTAGGTGTCTTGCAAATACGTATAAGTATCCTACTAGTCGGGGTCTTTCAAAATAAGCCTGGCAAGTCTGGCCACATTGACGGTTATACAAAGCCCTAAAGCAGTTTGTAGAGGGTCTACTATGATGCGGCCAAGACCCTACTTTGACTTCGGCACGCCGATCCACCCAGTGGTTCACTTAATCAGCTGAGAACGGATTTCAGGAATTTTCGGAAATAGGTCTAATCCCCAGCATAATACCAAAAATCTCAATCCCAAGCGCTAACCCCTTATCACCTGGAGCAACATACATCTCAAAGTGCCACGCTTCCTTCCCCTTTTCAGGACTGGTCAGCCAGATCCAGGTCCCTAACCAAGCTCAGCCAACGAGGGGAGATCCAAACTCTGCCAGGATTCTTCTTAACGATTGCCATAAAAGCGGCTCTACTTCACATGTTACTGCTATTGCCACCAATAAGCATAATCGCTTGAGTCTTGCCCTTCTTGTTATTTACTAGGACTACAAGGACGTCCCCCTGAACCACGGAGCCGAAATTTTCCGAAGCTTCCCGGCGAGTCGCCATGCCGCGGGTCATAGACCTTTTGGAGCTTCACATAGACGTGGTTGCCTGTCACTTAGGTGTTGAGGGTTCCTTTTGGTATAAGAACTATGGGTTTTGAGAGTTCCTTTTTAGGGTTCTGTCAGAACTCTGTAATGGTACTTGGACCCTTTGGGTTAGGTGTCGAGGGCTCCTTTTGATATCAGAATTGTGGGGGCATCTAGGGTTCTTGTTGAAGGTTCTATAAGACTTATGGCCTTTTGCTCAGCAATATGGAGTTTGCGAGTTTGGGGGTTAAGGGTTCATCGGGTGTTAAGCGTTGGGGGTTCACGGGTTCAGGATTTGGGTTCAGGGCTCAACGGTTTGACATCGAACAAGGCATGACTTAGGGCTTCAGTGCTGTAACATCTCAGGGTTTTGGAGTTTTATAGGCTTTCAGGGCTGTAGGGTTTTGGATGGTTCAGGGTTCATTTCAAGCTTTGTTTAAGGTCATTCGGCACTATCACTACGAGCCGAACTACTAGAGTGCGTTTTGAAGCAGACAGGGAGAAGAACATATAGACTTGTATTTCCTAATGGTGCCGTTAAGAAAAAAGTATTGAAGTATGGTACTCCAAAGCCCAGTAGCTACCAGCTCAGATCGGACCGAATGCCGATTTTGCATCTGGGGCTCTCGCTGAACATCACGGCCTGTGGTGACCTGCACGGCAGATCCTCACAGCGGCAGACTTTGGCCTTTGCTGTAGGTCTATACATAACTCCAGGCACGCGTGCCCCCCTCCTTCATCGAGGGGAGACCGTGTGCCTGCAAAACGGCTGGTACTCGGTGTTCTGTGCAAAGTCCTACGGCTCCAGCTGCCTGAATTGCAGAGATAAAACATCCCACGCCTGACAGAAGCCCCTCTGATGCGTAACACCGTCGCCCAGGATTTAGAGTCGATAAATTCAGACACCTGGAGCCCTAGAGAAACCGAGATCAGTAGCAAAAGAACCCCGCCAGTGTGGCGGCTATGCCTGCTTCACATGCAGACTTGCACTGCTGAGCCTCGGCATGTGTAGGGTGACAGTGTAGCGTGTAACGCACATCGGGGCCGCTCTGCAGTATATGGGCCCTGTTGAAAGCATGATATGAATTACCAAGAATGCTTCTTCTTCTTCCTTTTATCTCTCCTGTACAAGATAGAGTGGTATATAATTCGTGCGTCAGAATTGCCATCACAACATCAGCTGTCGGAGCACTAAAGCTTCGAGATTTCTGCAAACGAGCTGCCGGATGATCCAGGAATTGATGCCTTCCTCCGGCCCAGCGAAGCTAATTCACGAAGGGCGTGCCTGGAAATCTGGGAGTTAGGATTAGGGGGACCCTCGGGGATATAGACCCTCTCAATAAGGTCCCTCTTAAGAGAGCCAGAAGTAGGGTTCGGAACTGGTACCCTTTAAGGGGTCTCCCTCATCATGCTACCCAAAGGGGAATTAGTAAGTCTGGTTAATAAGTACCTTAATTGGGGTTATAAGTACCCTAAACCCTAAACCCTAAACCCTAAACCCTTTTGGGCAGGCTAACTCAGGGGCTGCCGGTTCGGAGTTTCGGTGAACGGCTTGGGAAACGCAGGGCTCACCACTCGGAAAGCATTGCTGACACGGCAACAAGTGCTGCTGTCAACATACACCCTGGCCAAAAAAACTGGGGTCGCCTGGGTCCGTTACAGCTTACCTGCACAAAGTCTGTTTTTGCGAAGCACAGTCCAACAAAAATAAGTGCAATGCTGAGTGTAGGGGCCTGAATACTTGGGAAGAAGGATGGATGGGGTTGTGGGGCGTAAGTAATCTGGTATGAAATAGTTAAACTAAGTCTGATTAAACTGCGGCACCCTAGGGGAATGGGATTAGCTGTTCAGGCTTCTAGATAAGGCTCCGGCTCGAAACCCCAAAACGTCACGCAGAAGGGCAGCAGGTCGCTTGTCCCTCTGTGATATGGGAGTTTCCGAAAATAGGGGACCTTAATACAGCACCCTAAATGGTAGGATCCTTTAGCGGGACCCCACAATAAGGCACCCCTCATTTTGGGAAACTCCCATAATATCCCTATAACGACAATGGTGGTCGCATGGGAAAGCCTGCACCCTAAACTCTGACGTCCGGCTCGGTTTTTGGGCTCAGGGTTTAAGCTCACCCAACACCGCCCCCTCGCCACCTCTCAGTGATTAATTATCAAAGCCTAAATACCCAATATATCGGAACCTAAGGCTACCATTGAAAGCACTTCGAAAATTCACTTTGGTGGTGCTGGGCCCCCAAACTTACATCCCAAGCTACGGCTTGAACATCCCACGCCTTCTCAGACCCGAACGTCGCCTGTTAGGGCTCAGGATTTGGGGTTGAAGCTCTGAACCGTGAACCCTGGAAACCCCTAAACCCGGCAAACCCAGGCCTCTTTCATCTTATCCTAAAGCCTACATGAGAGTTTCCGAAAATAGGGGACCCTAAGATAGTACCAGAAATAAATAGTAGGATCCTCCTTATAAGGACCCCCAAAAAATAAGGTACCCCGAATCTTCGGAAACTCCCAATCCCAAAGCCCTAAACCGCGAAACCGGCCTAAATCCCAAGGCTCCACACCCTTAACACATTATACGATACTTGTAATACGGAACCACCAAAATGGTCTTGCTAATTACTTAGGCCCCTATATTGAGGAGCAGCATCATATACAGTAGGACCCTTATTATAAAGACCCCGAAATAAAGTATCAGTCCCCCCCCCCCCCCCCATTTTTCGGAAAACTTTAGGCCTCATCTTCAAAGCTCCCAGTTCTCCACGGGCCTAAACCCTCAACCCTAAACCCTAAACCGTCATAGTTTAAGTTAAGCCCAGATCCCCAAGCCTCATCTTCAAAGCTCCCATGTCTCCGCGGGAATCTCGGAAAATCAGAATCCTACTATTTCGGGTGCTATATTAGGGTCGCCTATTTTCGGAACCTCCCAAATAAAGTATCAGTACCCTTGTTTTTTCGGAAACCCAGGCCTCATCTTCAAAGCTCCCAGGTCTCCGCGGGAATCTCGGCGGCGCCTTTCCGGGAAGTCTTCGCCTTGCGTGTGGAGATTCCAAGGATCCGAAGGGGACATAGGATTTGTTTCCGACAATTTTTGGGGTATGTGAGGGAGTAGTTTCCGATAATTACAGTAAGGGGCATTTTGGGGTTCCTCTAAAAATAAGGGTTTCTATAAGAGTACTATAAGGGTTCCTTGAAAGGGCTGTATAAGGGTTTAGAGTTTCCGAAGATCAAGGGCACCTTTAAAGGGATCCTTTAAGGGTTCCTTAAATTAGGGATCCATTTAGGGTTTAGGGTGTCCGAAAATTCAGGGTAACTTATTTTGGGGACCTTATAATAAGGATCAAAGTATTTAGTTTAGGGTAGTTACTGCATGAGGGTCCGCTATCTTGGGAATCTCCCATGTGGGGGCCTGGACGGCTTTAGCTGCGACTTCTCTTCCTGCTTCGGGCTACTGTTACTTACATTATAGAAACAAACCCCGTAAACAGCACAGCCGAAACCCTAAACACGTATCCTAGACAATAAAAATTCCTATATAATCCCTGAACAAATCTATAACCGAAACCTCAAACTGTACAGTCCTGATGAAGCCTACTCCTGAGCTTTTTGACTGAGAGCAAAATGTGTTTGTCAGGATTTAGGGTGGAAGGTTCTCGTTGATGGATTTAGGGCTCTGGGTAAAGGGAATGACCTAAACCCAAACCTTACAAACCCTACAATCCCTAAACCCTTGAACCCTACAAGCCCTGCGTCCTGATCCCAAGGAACATCTTGTGTAACCTCGTAACACCTTAATTTTCAAGCCCTATGAAGGCCTCAATCCTCAAACCCCGAGCCGGGTAAACTCTAATGTAGGGGCCTTAATATGGTTTAGGGGCCCATTGTACTATGACTATAATAAAGACCCCGAAAAAACAAAAACAACTAGTATAGGGTGTAAGAGTGAACAAGAAGCCCTTGAGAGCCCGTTGTCCGGGTGTGTGCCTCCATGTCTGGCAGCCTTGAAGTGGCTGTGCAGCTTGGGTGGTGAGTGGGCATAATGACCAGGTGATGAGGTCGTTTCGCATGTAGGTACTTATTTGAGCCCTTACATTAACCCTGAAAACTCTGAAAGCCACGCAACCCCGCCTTGGACTGCATGAAGCTCGGACCCAAAAACTTGTGGCGGCGGCTGCCCCGCTTCTGCGCCGCAGCTTGGGCGAAAGCGGGCATAGGCGTTGGTACGCCTGGGCTTCGGTTGTTCAAGGCTCCTTTGAGGTATCGATAGGGGTCCGTATAAGGGTTGTGCTCTACAGCACCATGGAAAAGCCATTCGCATGATTGCGCGATTCTTGTCTTGAGTAACACTGGCTCATGCCTACTCAATGACCCATTCTCCGGGCATGAACGTGCGAAGGCCAAGGTGCACTGCGAATACCACTCGTTGTCCACGACGCAGAGATAGCCCTTCGAGGAGCAGCAGACATGAAGAAGAGGAGGGAAGGAATGAGGGCGAGCTCGGAACTTAACGTAGGTAACATAGGCGAAGGACCAAAGAAAATGAAACTACAGCCAGGTAATGCTTGAAAGCCAGAACAAAACCATTTAGCACCATAACGATTCAGCACAGGAATCCGGTAGCGGCAAACATGCAGTAAACACAAACGCGAGCATCTAGGGACTATGCCGAAGAGGAGAACAGCACGAAGAAATAAGTGTGACTTTAACAACTAGCAGTGCTATGTACCACAGCTAAGAGCAAGAGTCCTCCAGGCAGCAAGTTGCACCGACATGATTTCGCCCGCCACCTTCCGCACGAGAATGTCCCAGCTTGCACGTCGCTAGCCCTGAACTGCTCTAGAATGTAGTAATAGTGACCCATAGGCTCCATAGTATTTCCTTTTTGGGATTACCTTCTTGGATTCCAAACATGAAGCCGCAAAATAACTTGTCACGTGGAAAGTGTAGGGTTTCTCAGGAACTTGGCTTGGCTTCACAGGCTTTAATAGTTACTTGTGTCAATGACTGGGGATCAATGCTGTTGGTGTAAGCTTTGTTCACTGGGGGCACTTCGTGAAAGCCCTGCCGTATTTGCAGGTGCATTTCAGTGCGGTACTTGCTGCAGCAGAGACACACTGCTGCCAAGCTCCCGCGCAGGATGCTGACGTTGTCGTAGTGGCCGGTGGTTCGGCAGTTGTCGTTGCAGTGCCTTCGGTCTTTGCTGGCAGGTGCATGTGGTAGTAGTTCTCTACATGAAGATCCGTTTTATCATAGGATCCCAACAACCCCCCCCCCCCCCCCACGAAAGCATCCCCGAATTGCAACCCCAAAATAAGCAATATTGGGGCCTTAATAATTAGTGTTGATCTCTGGAGATCAGTTGTGGGTCTGTAGATCCGTAGCTGGGCAAATCTTGATCGTTTGGGTTCGGCCCTGTAGATGCTCCCTCCATGGTAAATGTGAAATCTCGACGTCTCCTCAACAGATCCGTAGTGACTGAAGAAGAGGGGGCGCTTCCATGGGAGACTGACTCTACCGAATTCGCTCTTTTTGCTCGACGCCACACAAAGTGCTAGCTTGATTTAGCTGGGCAACTTCTAGTGTCCTGCAAGTCGTGAGGCCCTAATGCTTGTTCAGCCTATAGCTCGAACCTCGCAATGCCTCATCAGTTCACGCATCAACTCTTAAGTGTTCCCGCCTGTACAAAGAAACGTCACAGAGACTTACGGGATTTCCACACTCCTCCTTGATGCCAACGGTAGGTGAGCATCACCCCCTTTCGGATTAAAATCCACTACGAGGTCCCGCTTTCCGCAGGCAGTATTGACACACGTTCTTCGTGTGTATATGGCCAGCATTCCTCAGTCCTCTACACCCAATCTCTCCGTGAATGCAATGACCCCCGGCTGAAGAGTAGACTGAGGAATCTGCCGTAAGCACTAGGACTGGATCGGTCTGTGTGATCTGTGAGACCTTTCGGGGCTGTTGTGGACTCAGTTCCTCTCGTAACCCAAATCCCTGAACCTGTTCAGCAGAATACCCTCCGGAATTCGACGGCGGTTGGCAGGCGACTGTGGAAGGCTGAGTAGGTTCCCACTGCGGATTGGGTAACCCTTGTGGATGGGAAGTAGAGGATGAGGCGGCCTCTCCGTACACAAACCGGTGGGTCTGCACTGCGTCTACTCTGGGATCAGCTGCGCTGTGAACGTGCACAACTCCAGCTTGGATCATCGGACTAGGCCCAAGGGCTTCAGTTGACCCCGTGGCGGGGGGACACTTGTTCCTCCCCTTCCGCGCTCGCGGCGCGGCATCACTTCCGGATGGACTGGTCTCGCTGGCTATGGCGGCCGACACGCGCTCTTGAAGACGCTTCGTACGCCTTTCCTTATCGGCTGACACGGCCCTAACCTTCGGTATCTCTGCTTCAGGTCTATACCGCCTGGTGCCCTTCTTAAGCGTCTCCCACAGACACACCGTGGATAGCACTACCAAAAGGATTGCGAGCAGCAACTCCCATGGCCATTCCACTTCGATGGCTGGTTTCTCTTCCTGGCCCTTGCACACTACCCCTTGCAGAGACGTTAACAACCCAGCCAGGCAAACCTTGAACACCCTTCCGACACCCTTTACCTCCTGAACCTTGGCGGTACCTTCGGCACGAATCGGTCCCAAGCCCAGCAACTCACATAGATACTTCAAGCGAGCCGAGGGAAGAGGCTTGGTCAGGATATCAGCTTTCTGAAACACACCTTGGCAGTGGTTTAGGGACCACCCCTGTTGAAGCAGCTGGTTCAGCTTTGCGCCTCGAACCTTCAAGTGGCGGGTACGCTGCGAAGATGCCCCTTTCACTAGGGCAATCGCTGCGGTGTTGTCGACCTCGACCTCCGCTCCTACGCAAGGGACTCGCAAGTCCTGAAGGATCGCTATGAAGGATTCCCCGTAGGTGCAACCCTCAACAACCTGAATGAGCTCTGCCTCTGCTGAGCTCATTGCAATCAGCTGCTGGCGTCCAGCGCGCCACACCACTGGCGAGCCCTTGAACTCCAACACATGCCCACCGTAGGAATGCCGCCCCTCGGGAGAGAAGCTCGCATCCGTGTAGATGCGGAGCACAGGAGATTTCTCATCGGCCTTCAGCTTCAACTTGTAATCCTTGGTCTGTGCTAAGTACATCAGGAGTCGCTTTCCTATGGCAACGGCTCTTGAGGGCTCCGTTGCAACCAACGAACACAGCACTGACGTGGTGAATGAAATGTCCAACCTGGTACGTTGGGACAGCCATAAACACTCCCCTGCTATGCGTTGAGCTAGCTTGACCGTGATTTCATCATCATCCAAGTGGTCTTCTGCTTCAACGGATTCCTCGTCTCCCGGTCCAAACACCACCTCCTTGGGGCATGTGATCTTCGATCTCATCATGGGAGTTAACCCGTGTGCCCGGATGACTTCATCCACGTAGGCCTCCTGGTCCAACATGAAGGAACCGTCATCTCCACGCTCAAGCTGCATGCCTAGGAACCTCACCGGCTTTCCTGCCTGCGCTTCTGACAGTCCATCTGTCTCCCACTGCGCTGTCTCTAGAATCCACTGATGAAATGCCACTGCTGTGCTTCGCTCCCCCAGCACTAGGAAGTCATCCACATAGGTGATCAGGTATCCCTTCAGCTCTTCACCCTTCATGATCCTCCAAATGTTAGGATCCACGGCTCCCTGAACCAATCTGCATCCTTCAAACACTGCCTTGCGGAGCTCCTGGTCCCGAAATCCGGACCACCACACTGGAGCCTCTTTGAACCCGTAGAGAACTCTCCCGAGCGTGTAGCACTCGTCAACCTCCGCTAAACCCAACTCTATGAGCCACTTAGGGGGCCTAAGGACATACCGAGCGCCTGCTTCCTTAGGGATGGGTGTCAGGGTGAATGCGGATCTGATGTCACATGTGAAGGCGCCCCACTGGTGGCTACTGGCTTCCACCAGGGACGCACGGACGAGCTCCGCCGGGGCTCCACTCGCGTAAAGCGACTCCGCGTCGCTGTGTGTGGTCTGGTTGCCACACGCCACTAGTCGACATTTCCTTCTGTAGAGCTCCGTCGCTCCATTCGAGGGCGCCTTAGCGGTGAAGACCCCTTTCAGAGGGATCACGGTTGTCTCCGGATTGTTCAACAGCCGACGGGCTTGGTCGCCAAAATGGCTCTGGAGGACGCCGGGCTTCTTTAGAGTCTCAAGCTCCTTCTGGATAGCGGCCTTCCATCTTGTGAGATGTTGTCTCACTTCGCCCTGGCTGGCGGTATGCGTCACACTCAAGGGTTCGTGAAGCCCTTCCAAAAGCGACTCTAAATTTTCTGTGGTAGCAACCTCCGCTTTCTTCACAAACAGCTCTTCCCACGGAGGTGGGTGGACACCGAAGTTCTCCTTAACCCTGGGCGTCAAGGCGGTGGGATTCGGCAAAGGTACTGGGAGCTGTGACGGGACACCCTCGGTGCGTTGTCTAGAGCTTGCGACATTGTCACTGCACGCGACCCCTGCTTGCAACGCCCTAATCTCCGGAGGAGGTGGGCCTGGCTCCGCAACTACCCTGGCCATATCCTCCAAAGCTTGATCCCTCACTTCTTCGACTAACACCCTAATCACCACCACTTCCCTGACATCCCTTTGCAGGTCTAGGATGTCGAACATCATCAAGCGATCTGGAAAAGGCGAGTCATCCAGGTACATGCTGTCGTCATCGGTGTACTGAAAAACCCTGGCGATAGGAACTGTCACTCCTTCCGGAGTTCTGTACTCCAAAAGAGGATCATCACTCCATTGCCTGCCATCCCTCAACGTACCCACAAGGAGACCCCGAGGAATTGCTTCCGACAACTGCCCTACGCCCACTTCAGTTTCTCCACTGAGGACCCTTGTCCATCTTTCCATGCCTCGCTCAAACTGTTCTTCATCCAACTCACATAGAATCCTCCACTCCTCGGGTGGAATTCGGGCAAACCTCACATTCATATGTTGAGTGCGAACCCTCTGCGGACGGCGTAATGTTCTTGCTGGCACTGGCATTCGCTGAGGGTTGGGTCCAACGAGTTTGCATACTCGTGCTTCCCCGTGCTGCACGGGTCCGGGACTAAACCCTAAGCTGTTCAACTCTGCAGTATCTTGGGCCGGGAGTTTGTGGGTTCCTAAGGGACTAAACCCTGCTAAAACCCAATTCGTGGGCCCAGACAAGGCATGAGGGAACTTCGGGTTGAAGGCCGCTGCATCACTCCCAAGGTGATAGCCCTCCATCACTGTGATTTTTCCATCCCGTGCACACAACTCCACACCGCTCTCAACCTTCGGGGCTCCCTTTACATCACACTCTGAAGCGGAGCTGCACCACAACCTTCTACTTGAAACCGAGGCGACCACATTAAACGATCCGTGCTCATTCCTCGAATCGCGGTGAACGTCCACCTCTTCTGCCTGCATCACCATCAAGGACGACCAACCAAGGCCTTGCACAGGTCCTTTTGCTTTGTCCTTCAAGTATGCATTCAAGTAGCGGCATAGGCTGGGTCTGGACCTACTCACCCGAGTTATCCCCCTTATTCCTCCATGACAAAAGGCTCCTAGAACCACCGAAAAGTCTACTGGTCCTCTGTGGGATCTCCTTGAATGCCACCCAGCGGCGCCAAAGGATTCCTCTAACAGCCTCCCACACGACTCTACAGTGAAGTCTGCATCCTGCAACAACCTCGCTGCTGTGGCTTCAGAAGTAAGCTCCACCGCTTTTACCGATCGCTTCCCGGTGACTCGCCGATCCACTGGGGGTTTAGCGCTCACCTCTGGCTCTGCAACATCGGCCTCCAAAAGCATGTCGGCTTTCAACTCCTTCTCTGGGTCAACAAGCTCTGCGGTGGATCGCACATTGCGTGCCACAAGGTATGCACCGGTGCTTTCTCGCAACAGCAAGTGCCCCTTATCGGTACGGGAGCAGGGCGTCAGGTAGATCCCATACTCCCATCGCAAGAACGGCTTCTTTGACTCCCCGGTGGGGTGTTTTGACTTAAACACCACCCGATGCCCATATGGGTGCACCTTCCCTGGCATCTGCAGTGTCCTATGCCGATGTTCGGCACACGCCAAAGCCATCGCCGTAGGCCAGTGTTCATACCCTAACCCTGCGGAGGCTAAGTGGAGCCTAGCCTTAGTCTTTACCCAACCAACCAACCGTTCGGC